GGGCCCTCTGGCATCCCAAGCCAGCTCTTAACCAGTGCGCAACTCGGCCGGCCCCATCAGAGGCATTTCTGAGGGTGTGCTCTAGGAATATCGAAACCCAAACCTTGAACAGAGAGATACTAGAGCTGGCCTTGAAGGGTTTGAGGATTATAAGCCTAGGAGCACAGGGCTCGAGAATCCTTAGCTGAGAAGATGGAACAAGGAGGGCTGTGGGGCTCTGTGTGTTGGTGGAGGCCAAACAAACCCAGAGCATCACAGGGCCTTCCCAGTGTGTGTAGGCACTGAAGATGGTGGTTTCTGAGAGGTGACTTCAGAAGTACAGGGTGAGCATCTGCTGAGCCAGGGACCAGGGACCAGGGTCGGGGGTTAGGGCTGGGAGAGGATGCCAGGACCCCCAGAACCTCGGAGAAGGAAAGGGAACTCATGTCACTATCAAGGCTGACACTCAGCTTCCTGGGAACTGACCGGGCCTTGAAGCCCTCCAGTGACAGAGAACTCATTACTTTCTAAGAGGGCATTTCGTTAGAGAAAATTCATCCAAACACTGAGCTGAAATCTACCACTTCTAATTTAACTCTTTTGGCACTTGGCCATGACTCAGAGCTACACAGAACAATTTTTTTTCAATATTATTTTATTTTAATTTCAGGTGTACAGCATAGTGATTAGACATTTATATAATTTAAGAAGTGATCCCCCTGTCTTTCATATCCCTGTGACAATAGTGTAGTTCCCTATTTATGCTGTCTAGTCCCTTCCCCTTCTCCCTCATTCCCACCCCACTCCTTCATGGATGGGGTAGAGGCTTGATCACTGCACTGTACACCTGAAACTGATGTTGTATAACACGCAGCTGCAGTGTTGCCATGGGGACATGGGGGACAGTTCGAGGAATGTAATTGATAATGTTGTGAATATTTTGTAGGTTGTCAGGTGGTCACATGTCTTGCATCATGGATGGGGAAGAGGCTTGATCACTGCACTGTACACCTGAAGCTGATGTTGTATAATATTGTA